TTAAAAATGAATAGGGGTTTACTAAAATCATTTTTTGATAATGTCAATAATTTCGGAAATAATCGCTCCAAAAGTAAAAAACAATGTGTCCCCCCCCTCTAACTTTTGAACCATAAGTTTAGAAAATATGAAAAAAATCTGAAAAGTAAACTTAGGACTTTCTAGGAAAATAATTTTGAACTTGGATGGAAACAACAGTACCCACTACCGGGAGCAGTTGCAGGAGGAGCGCGAACATAATGGATACCCACCTTTAGACTCATAAGTGGGAACACTTATTGTGACGGACGGGAAACTACGGAACCCTACACTGAGCGTGGCCCGACACGCTCTTGGCCGGTTTTTTAACAGAATTTTTAACAGAATCCACATAACTCTATGCCTTATCGAGAGCATTTAAATAATATACATAAATGCGCCGATAGCGCACTTTTTTAACAGAATTGACTTCGTAGATTCAATTGTAGATTGAGGATAAATTTGACAAACGTTGACATTTATACGACAGTAAAGATTCACCAGAGCTTAGCACGGGTGATTTCTGGATATCGGTAACAGCACCAACTACCAGATATAAAATCTAAACCAATTTGTAAATCTAAAACATACAGGGACCCACTTAAATACACACAAAAAATTTTATGAAAATCTGTGAGTCTTAGCGAGACTTTGTTTTATACTATGGTGAGATGGTCGGTAATAATAGGCTATTATGATATGATTGCGATATTTGAAGTGGTCTAGCACTTCATGATAACATGATTAATTATACGATCTGGCCACATTTACATAACTCGAGTTTTGGCTTTCAAAGTTTAATCTGAAATTAGCGCCATCTATTTACTGCTAAATAAACTAATGATAACTAACTGATAAGATTAAATGTAATACTATTGAATACTTATTATTGCAGGATCAAAAACTTAAAATATCCAGCCATAATCGGGATGATTAACCGTAATTGCCACGTTTAGCGAAATAACTAACTAAACTGTAGTACTGGATACTGTGTATACAAAACTGTGATGAAAAGAGAAACTTTTAGTAACTATACTTATTGGGTGTATATCGGCATAGGAATGATTGCACTAACTTCCTTTGGTATAAAGTTATCCGATGTAAGTTTTTATCTCTACTTGATCGATTAGTAAAAATATAAGCAACTTTTTTATAGTGCCGATCAATATTCGATATGCCAATGAAATTATAAAACAAATATCGCAAATAAACACTCTGCCGTACATTAATAGAAGATAACGAAATTAGACATTATTTGGTCAAAATTAAATTATCTTATTAAAGATACCTCTGAGGTCAAGACCGATATAAAGTGACAGGGGTTGCTAGACGTATGATAGTAATGCAATTCTAAAAAAAATCTACATCTAATAATCTCTAAGAATTCAAAAGATTTCACTTTACTAACAAACGTAACAACGAGGCGTATGGAGCAATATTAATGATGTTCCTCAACGGAAGTCCACGTGAGCGAAGTCGCGGGTAAAAAGCTAGTTCGTAATAAATTTGTATGTGAATACATCCCGTGTCTGTGTTAATCTCATAAGTGGCAATCTGTTTTAATCTTCGAGCTGCATAATACAGTACAGTGAATACGATTTGACTTGGTGAAAAAAAAAACTATTAAGGCGTGATTGAAACAATTCGATTAGAATAATATAAATTTAATCGTTTTTACCAAGATTGCTTAAATATAAATTTCACAGCTTGTTACCATAAAACCTATAAAGTGAAATTGCAATATCTCTGCTATCATAATATCTAAGGTATCATAAGATTATAATTATAATATTTGTAACTATAAATATTTCTCTTCCTTTAGTTTACCATTAGTTTAGTAGACACAAGTGAAAAATATCCTTAATTTTCGGCACGAACGACGTAATCATGCTCGTAAACGTTATGGAAGCTCGTCAACATCAATCAATTCTTATAGCTCGAGTACTCGTGATCGTCGTAGTAAGCAAAGACGCCATGGTAGGCAAAAACATAAACTGTCCCCATCAACCCGTTGTCGACACCACGATCAAAGTAAAAAGTAAAAAAAAAAGTAAAAGAAGTGTTTCAATAAGAACTCCGCCGTTGCCCAGGGTTCGAACAATGTCACCACTGATAGGATTAACTTAAATGATATGCCAGTTACTTCAGGTTTGACAAGCAGCTCAATTTGTCCTCCATTGATCCTTCTGTTGATAGCCAAAGCATTGAAGAAATTCATCTATTTATGTACTTTTACTACATTTCTCGTTATAAAAATTATCTATTATACAATAATCAAACCAAAATTCGAATCTAATGCATAACAAAATTTCATCAGGTGTCTGTGTAACTCAGTTTTGTTTTGTTCAGAAACTCTTGTATCTCATGACTGTGATGAGGAAACATGTAGTTTCAAATTATGTTAATAATATTTGACTTCTTCATGTTATAACTAGACTCTTTAAATGTACTTAAAATGTTGATGTTTTCTATTATTAAATAAAAAAATCACGAATTCGGTTAGTTGATGATCGGTTAGGCCTTTTCGAAATGTATATAATATGCTTTGTCATACTGCAATTTACTAAAAACACCTGTTTATAATAAAAAGCAATTTTGAACGAAGACCTAATTAAAATATAACTTATTTACAAGCTGTACATATTTTACACTGTATTTGTAATTTTTCGATTTATTTTATTGTTATTAACTCTTTTAAGGTTTGATAACTCCCATTTTAGTGGGTAAAATCCTGTTGAAGAGACTTGCAAGTTTTGTACATATCTATTAGGATAAGTTATTTTGTATGCAAAAAGTTACATAAAATATTATGCACCTTTTGAAGCGAGCATGTTGTTGAAATTCTGAATAATTTTACATTAAAAAATGGCAAGCTTTATAGAATCGTCAAAAAGAACGATACCGTAACGTTACTCTTGGTGGTTCCTAAGTCTGTAAGACGGCAAATACTAAAAATAAATCATGACAATAACTGTCATTTTGAGTTTGAAAAGACATGCGAACTTATCAAAAGGATCTACTGGTTCAAAAATATGAGAAAGTTCACTAAAATATTACAAGGCTTGTCTAGAATGTGCTCATAATAAAATCCAGCCACCAGGGGATGAATGCTTTATCCTATTAAAAAAGTAAGCAAACCGTTTGACACCATACATGCGGATCATTGCGGGCCATTCCCGTTAAGCAAAAAGAGGAATCGTATATATATATATTGATTTTTTACAAAATATATATATCTTAAAGCTGTCCGTGATTGTAAAAAAATAACGAGTATCCAAATTTTTGAAGAATACTTTGCATTATTCGGGGTGCCGCGGCGGTTAATTGCGCGTTACCAGCTTCACTAGTATTGAATTTAGCAAATGTGTAATGGGGAAAGGTATGAAACGCACATTAAATGCGGTCGCTACACCTCGAGTAAACGGTCGGGTCGAACGATATAATAAAACTTTCGTAGAATCACTCGTCGACATCCTGAAAATGAATGGGTTACCGTATTGTTTAAAGTGCAATGGTCGTTGAACAACACAATTAACTAAGGCACTGGGAAAACTGCTGAGACTTTATTTCGGATGGTTCCAACGGGAAGTTGCGATAGCGTAATGAACAGTATAGTGGCTGAATCTCAGCAACTTTAAAACCGAGATGAAATTCGCAATGACGTTGAACAACAAATTTCTTCTGAACAAATGAAGCAAAAGACCAGGTTTGATAAAACGAGAAAAGAAGCTAGGCAATATAAAATAGATTTTGTTCGTATAGAGAAAGACGTCTAAACGGCGCCGGGACATACCAGAAAGTTTGTTCCGAAATGTTCCGGGCCGTACAGAATAACAAAAATTCTGAGTCATGATCGATATGAGGTTTAAGACACACCGATTACTAAAAAGGTAAAGCGGCATACATTGGAGCTTACCAGGTAGATAAAATACACCCTTGGTTAGTATTCCAAAATGATCCAATCTCCAGTGACTCGGAGTAGAATTCCGATTTCTAAATTATGCATGTATGTATGCATCCGTGTTCTAAATTATTGTCCCTTTAAGATATGTAGTTGTAATTGCATCATAATTGTGATATATTATAAAGGAAGAGATATATTCTAATAGTAATATAATACAAACATACGAGTAAAAAATATAATAGTAATTTATATTATTATATGATAACTCCCTTTTGTTGTATATAATCTTTATGAATAAAACATAATAGATAATGCATGAAGATATGAATAATCATTACATTTTAAGGCCAGTATTTGCAACGGCATTCATTTGATATAAGAAAGTGAGCAGTTACTGAATTGTATCGGTGTGGACCGTTCTGCGCAACGACACTTCTTAAAGAGTGAGCTGGTACCGAATGGTATCAGTGTGGACCGTTCTATGCAACGGCATTCATTAAAGTTAAATAGAAAACCGATGTCGAATGGTAAAAAAATTAGTAATTAGATGTAGAGTTAAGAGTTATTGTTAATTTAAAACCTAATACTGTGGTACGGTTTCTACGCGGGGACGCGTCCAGTGTCAGGATTGGTCTAGTGTTAGATACATGATCACTATGCAATATTACTTAGCAATCATCACAGTTAATATTAATATTCATCCATTTCAAACTACCTACATTAATTCTGGAATTGAGTCACAATATAAAAGCGCGTACACTTGACGCTCGCGGCATTTGATTACGAACAGTGGTGCTGATTAATATATTATAGTGTTCTTTGTGAAAGTAAAGTATAGTGTTATAAAGTATTATATAAAATTTGAAAGTGAAATTAAACAAAAGTGAGTTGTCGTGGTTTTATTGGAGAAAAGCTGACACTTGGTAGAAGGAAGATTCTAACAGTTCCTTTTAGCTAAATAGGAGAATTTAAGCTAATTTCTTTGTTTAATTGTCCATGAAAATATCATCAAAAGTGGGATCGCTCGTGCTTTTTGTTAATTGTTTATTTAAAATATTTCAGGGCAAACTATTTCAACATGGATGTGGAGTTGGTGAAAGGGCTGCTGGAAACCATCCAAAATGCAATGGTTTCAAATAAGCGGTACGTCAACTTAGCGGTGCCAATTTTCGACCCGGACAAAAGCAACGACGGAGCAGCTGCCTGGTGCGAAACCTTTAATAAGTTGGCAGACGAGTTAAAATGGAGCAGCTTTGAGAAGACTGCAAAAGCTGGTAAGGCTCTTCGGGGCTCTGCATTATCCTGGTTTGACACATGGGAAAACCTAAGACAGGTAATTCATGGGAAAAATTCAAAAAAGATATTGTCTGTTTACCCTCAAAGAAAAAATCTTAGTGAGAAACTGTTAAGTGCTGTGTTATACACGTCGAATTCCACAGATTTTATGCTAGGGAGAAATTAAGACTATTAAAATCTACTAAACTATGTTTTACTGAGGGCCAACTAATAGGGCTTGTTTGATGTGGAATTAGTGACGTAAATGTGAAAATAGCTAGTTTAAATAGTTCCGTGCGAGTCGATGGTCGATCTCCTTTCTTTCCTTTCAACTACACAAAATTGCCAGAAAAGCCATTTTAACTGTGGTCGCTTTACAATTCATCGGGTCCTAGTAACTAAATCAAAATACGTTGTTGATAACCGGGCAAAAAGTACTCAATATCCACAAAATTTGTAAAAAGACCGGCCATGATGAAAGTAAATGTTATTTAAAACATTTTGTTTGTATTGTAAAAAACAGGACCACAGCGAAAATAAATGTTTTAAAAAATCGTAGATAAATCTTAACTCGTCAGCTAACAACATTACCTCACAAAAATAATACATTGTGACTAGGCTTACATTTAACGCCGGTTCATATTAATGACCCTGATGATGATGATATAAATTCATTAATTGATACTGGGGCGAGCTGTAGTATAATTAGGGAAAGCATTGTTAGACGGTTAGGTTACAGTAGGCCTCACTCCTTGCTCTGTATACTCTTATTTAGACGGTGTATGAAACGGAAAACTACACGCCTTTTCGACGGTGACCTTGACCATAACAGCTGAAGATATTTGTCTTGATTTGATATTTTATGTTGTCAGAGATGATCATTTTAATTATGACTGTTTGATAGGTAAAAAATTCGTTCAACACCCCGATGTCGCTATTATTGTAGACTCCCTTGGTAATAAGATAATACGTTACCCTTTTCTGCCGTTAAATGTAAAGTACCTGGATGATTTTTTAAAATTACATTTAGATACAAATTATATACTGATTAAACATAAATAATATTTTTTGATCTTATTGACATGATAGAAAAAACTGAACTGGTTATTTAAATAAAATTCATGAGTGCAATTAGTTTAATTAAAATTTTCGTATTTTTAAAAAATACTAAAATAAGGGCCCGAAATCATAGATTTTCTCACAAAAGAAGGGAACTTGAAAAAAAAAAAGAAAAAGTCGGACCAAAGACAGGACGCGAACCAAGGCATTACGATTCCGTGACCGCTCGATATCCACTTGAGCTATTACGATCATTAACACAGTATCAAAATTTACCTTTTTTATATTGTAGCAGTTTTTCATTGCCTGAAAACACGGACAAAAAAGATATTTTCTAAAAATAAATCCTAGCTAGATCGATTTATTACCCCCAAACTCCCTGCACACTAAATTTTATGAAAATCGTTGGAGCCGTTTCCGAGATTCCGATTATATATATATATATATATATATATATATATATATATATATATATATATAATCGGATACATACATATGTATATATACTTAATAAACACCGACGCCTCCTGGCTTCAGATGATGATGATGATGATTAAAGAGACTGCATACAGGTTTTACATTAAGCTAGCGTTATTATATTCGGAGATATTAAATAGTTTCCTAACTGCTTTCCGTGATTACGAATGTATATGGCGTTGTTTCTTGAAAAGTGTCTTTGAATCTATTATCAGATATACAATAGCTATTAAATTCTCATTTTACCGTCTAATAATTAATTATCATTAACTTAGTGCAGGAAGTCGTTTGTGGCATTTCTTGAGGGAGGTCTATATTCAGCAGTACTTGTGATTGGCTGTAATGATGATGATGGTGATACGAATGTTTTACTAAACTTGATCCGCATGAATATTTTTTTTGACATATTATGTTAAAGGTGTTTTGCAGAATAGCATATTGTAATGTATGTCATAAAAATAGGCGATAGAGAGGAAAGCAAAACCAGATGGAATATTTACGAGTGTAGAGTTCAATCTTACCCTCACAGCATAGATCGTTATCTAATATTATTAGATAAATATAAAAATAAAATTAATGAAAACAGTTTACTTGACAGTTCGCATAATGACAACACAGTTTAACAGCGGTTCTCACACTAGGCGCGCAGGCCTGTATCGTGTCGTAAAATCAATTGGGTCGCCTTTTTTTTTTATAGAAGAAGGGGCAAACGAGCATGCGGCTCACCTGATGTTAAGTAGTCACTTACCCATGATCAACCGCAACACCAGGAGAATTGTGGGTGCGTTGCCGGCCCTTTAGAAAGGAGTAAGCTCTTTTCTTGAAGGTCCCCAAGTCGTATCGGTCCGGAAAAATCGCCGGTGGTAAACTGTTCCACAGAGAGGTTGTACGTGGAAGAAAACTCCTTGTGAAACGTACAGTGGTGGACCGCCAAGCATCCAGATGGTGTGGATGGTATCGGGACGTTTGCCGTGTAGTGCGTTCACGAAATTTGGCGGCTGGGACTAATCCGAACAATTCCTCAGAGCACTCCCCGTGATAGATGCGATAAAATACGCAAAGAGATGCAACATCTCTTCGCAGCGCCAGTGAATCGAGCCGATCGGAAAGCACTCGGTCGTCGACGATTCGAGCCGCTCTGCGCTGGATGCGGTCAAGTGGAAGGAGCTGGTACTGGGGAACCCCAGCCCAGAGATGGGAAACAGTATTCCATGTGCGGCCGAACCTGCGCCTTGTAAAGTTGCAGGCGGTGTGCCGGCATGAAATACTGTCCCGCTCTGCTGAGCACGCCAAGCTTTTTAGAGGCCAATTTGGCCTTCCCTTCCAAGTGACCACGAAACTGCACGTCACTCGATATGTCGACGCCGAGGATTCCGATACTGGCTGAGGCAACAAGGGGAGTGCCTTGAAACTGAGGGGATACGACAAAGGGGTTCTTTTTAGCGGTTAACGCGCAAACTTGTGTCTTCTGGGGGTTAAACTGGACTAGATTTAGTCGTCCCCAATCCGAGACTCTGTTCAGCAAAGACTCGACTTCAGACACAAGTTTGTCCCGGCACTCGGAGACGTTTTCCCGAGAAATATTGGCTCGGCCGGTGTAAAGAGCATCACCAGTGCTGTCATCTGCATGGCAATGAATGCTACGGGTATGCAACATATCATTGATATGCAGAAGAAACAGCTTTGGCGATAGCACGCAGCCCTGTGGAACACCAGCATTAATAGGCTTGCAATCGGAGCTTGCACCGTCTACAACAACCTTGATGCTCCGATCTGCAAGAAAGCTGGTGATCCAATCGCACAATTTCTCGGGAAGCCCATAGGAAGGGAGCTTCGAAAGAAGCGCTTTGTGCCAAACCCGATCGAAGGCCTTCGCAATGTCCAAACTAACGGCCAATGCCTCCCCCTTGAACTCTACTGTCTCCGCCCATCTGTGAGTGAGGTAGACCAGAAGATCACCAGCTGACCGACCACGGCGAAAACCGTATTGGCGGTCACTAATTAGCTGGTGATCTTCAAGGTACCTTATGAGCTGGCAGTTTACAATGGACTCCATTGTTTTGGAGAACAAGGAGGTGATGGCGATTGGCCGGTAGTTGGACGGGTCTGAGCGGTCGCCTTTTTTAGGGATCGGGTGGATGAAAGCCGTCTTCCATGATTTTGGGACTACGCCTAGGGAGTAGGAGTACCGGAAAAGACGCGTTAAAACCGGTGCCAACTCTGGAGCACACGTCCTCAGCACAATTGGGGGGATTCCGTCAGGCCCACTCGACTTGTGGATGTCCAGGGAGAGGAGTGCTTTGCGAACCGAGCGCTGTGTGAACTGCACTTCCGGCATGGAGCACTCACACCGCGGGATGGTCGGCGGCGTACTCCCCCCGTCATCGAGAGTCGAGTTAGACGCAAAGAAAGAGCCTAGAAGATCGGCTTTCTCCTTTGCAGTATGGGCCAGTGAGTCGTCCTCCCTGTGCAGAGATGGAAGAGATGGCTGACAGAAATTCTCTTGGACAGCCTTGGCGAGAGACCAGAATGCACGGGTTCCAGAAGGAAGGCGAACTAGTTTCTCGCCAATTCTGCCTATGTGCTCTGACTTTGCCTTGGCAATGACTCTTTTGAAGGACCTGGAGGCGGAATTAAACTTCTTTTTTAGAGCGCTGGTGTTTACATCCCGGGACGCTGATGCATCAACCCAGGCTTGGTAGCACTCCTGTATAGCAGCTAAGCAGAGTTTTACACTGGCGCTACTTTTACAGGAGCGACCAAACCATGGCTGAGATTTGCCTCCAATGGGCACCACAGAGGAAGGAATAAATTGGACGTGGTCGAAGAGTCGGTCTGTTTTGCCATTACCGCTATGGGACCTATAGAGGCACCCGGATGGTCGTCGCTGTCTACGCGTAGCCGAAGGATGGACAGGACCGAACCTTCAAGTCTGCCGAGGCGTCGAGAACAGATGTCCTCTCTGACGTAAACGCAAACTCCAGCCCGAGGCACAAAGGAGTGTTCCAGTTTGTACCCCGGGTAGGAGAGATACGAGACATCAGCCGGAGAGGACACCTGCGTCTCGGTCAGAAAGAGCAGAGCCGGCTTCGGCGTCTCGAGATGGTAGTGGACGGCGTTTAGGTTAGAGTGAAGTCCCCTGATATTGCAGAAATTCACGGACAGCGTGGCAGGGGTCGCCTTGGTCTTGTTGCTCCGTTTGCCCCGAGCAGTTGTAGTCTTGAGCGGAATTTTGCCCCCCCCCCCCCAGAATACGCGAGGCAGCCTGAGCACACACGCTCAGAAGTGGAGAAACATGGTCGTGGATGCTCAGCGAGGGATTCTCCAGGGGTGCTGGTACCCTCCTGGGGTAGTCTATCATTATTTAATTCCGCTACCATGTTGATGGGGGGGGGGGGATTTGGGCCTCCGGCCACCTGCACTCACCAGACGAAACGCGGAAGCAGAGCTTCCACTTCACGCCGGTATTCTGTGAGGTCGTGGTACCACCCCGGTTTGAGCCGGCCCATACGTGCAACAGCAAAGCTGCCGCGTGGCTCTACCACTGTTAAAATATTTTCAACGTATATAGCCTGTATCCTGGGTCTAGCTTTTGCACCAAGATCGACGCATATTACATGGTAGGACTCTGGCTGATTGACTGCCTAAATAGGATCCACCATTTATCCATTTCTGCTACCAAAAAATATTGCTGGCACTGTGTTCCGGTCAGAGGGGTTAACAGAGTCAATACAATTACAAGCTGTGATTCTATCAGTTACTTTTTTGTTCGAAGCTGGCTGCAGGTGTTCAAGACCTGCAGTAGCACTTAGCATCAGGTGAAATGTTAGTTCATTTGTTTCTTCATTTTTAAAAATAAAAATACCGTTACACTAGACAACGCGGAAAGGCATTTCAATAATCTGTGTTACAACGAGGATGTTTCGAAGGAGAAAAACAGTATAGTCACATATATATCATATAATTACATATAATATTATATTCATACAAATATTTTTAACAATGTATTTAATATTTTAGGTTATTTCTCTGCATAGTGCCTAGGTCAGATGGGTTTGCCCAAGTCGTACATTCTTATTTATATTTCTTTTTTTTTTAATTTTGGAGATACAACTTGCGATACAGCTCACTCACCAGTAAAATGGTCTTTCTATGGTAAGTGACGATCATTCCTCAACAAAGACCATTTATTAACTTCCCAGTGGGAAGTTATTGTAACGAGTCCGATTTTGCAAATTGGAAATGTTAACATATATCCACGTTTAAAGGTCTTTAGAGTCGAATAGTATCGTTTTTAAGAGGATGTCCGTGTGTGCACATGTACGTACGTATGTATGTATGCTCTGATTCAATTTTCGTCTCGTGTATCTCGTGAACAAAGAGTGATATTGACATGGGGTCAGTTTCATTTAACATATAATTATGTAACTTAGACCTCATAAAATTTTGGGCAAAATCGGTCAAGTCGTTGTTTGTGCCGAATTAAAAATTGTATAAAATATTAAAACATAATATGATCCACTGGGAAGTTAGTCGTGTAAGCCTTTCGGGTCGCACCTAGATCGCTTTTATTTTACAAAAGAATTGCGAACATTATTTTTTAAGTATTGTATTTTATTAGTATTAGTAATTTCGTTTCTAGTTGTCTATAAAATAAACTCTCATCAACTGGTAACATAATATTCTTAAGAATTATCTTCTTTTACTGATAATGTTTGATACCGAATGTTTAATTGATACGGAAACACTGTAACTGGATTCAGGGTAGTGCAATTAGAGAACAAACCAATAAGATTTTAATAAGCCTGTCCTGCCCAGCACAATTCAATTGTACCTGCCGAGTGTTATTCACCGAAGCATGAATAGCAAACCTAATATGTTATGTTTTCGGATATTAAATGTTCGTATTAAAAATTAAAAAAATGAACGTTAGAAAACAGAGTACTTAGCTAAGTAGTTAAGCGTAGATACTTTAGCTATTTACGTTTTTCGTGGGTAAATCTGATACCCGCTTATTAGTGGCATAGAGAGCTTCTGTCAGTGCTCATTGGCTAATTTTTCTGCAAAACGCAGCCAATTTGTTATATATTGGCTTGTTTTGCAGAAAAAAGCGCTAGGAAGCGCTTGTAAGCAAAATGGTGATCGTAAGCGGTAAGCGCTGTCAAATCGTAAGTAGCTATTTGCCTCTAGGACACGAAGTTAGGTTTAACCGGGGAACCTAACCTAATTTAAATATATGTTTGTAAAGTATTCATATAAAAAACTTACCAATCATGAATTTTAATAACATGTATAATATGTTTATTCATGTCATTATATTACTTGAAACTAATATTGCACAAAACAACTTATAAACTCTATTTCAAAACAAAACAAAGTAAATAAACAAAATGGCGGATTGTGTCAGCGCTACAAGTACTACAAGTTAACAAACGTGTCCTGGCCGAAAACTGTTTAGCTTCGCCATTTTGCTTACTAGCGTTTCCTAGCGCTTTTTTATGCCAAACGCAGCCATTATATTAATTTTATTTCTGTCTGCTATAAAATATTTTTTTCCGATTTAAAGATATTTTACGAATAGAAATCATTTTTAATGAATATCTATTTAAATCAATAAGGAAAACATATCAAGCTAGGTATTCTCCAACTTAAATCCTCTTCTGTGCACCCGCGCCAAATATCACACGAAGGCAGACACGCTTATGTCATGGGGGTCAAGAAAACGAGCACGTGAAATCATCTACTTTTCAGGCACAAATTGAGCGTAGCACCGCATTTGATCTATGGTTGCACTACCTTCCATACACAGCTGTGGAGGGTGGTAAAAGCGGCATATTGCTTAGCAATACGATCCCGCCCTCATATTGCTTAGCAATACGATCCCGCACTCATATTGCTTAGCAATACGATCCCGCCGGCAATGGAGGGTCGCTTATGTCATTTCAGCCCTAAATTGTTTTAATTCTCTAAATTCGAAGCATACATTCAGATTAAATTACTCGTGTCTAATTTCGTTTACATAAAATAATGTACTCGTATATGACATAATGAACTATTGATCCAGAAATAACTAAAATAATTATGAGAAAATCGATAACATTAATACCAATAATCCTCAGCTGAACATTAGTAAAATATTGAGGGAATTAGCTCTTATGGCACGCTTAATATGCGAATGAAAAGCATTCTCTGTACTGAAATCAAAGCCTGGTAACAATGGAATTGAATGGAATAGTATGTTCGTCATCAACCGCCTGGTAATATATTGGGTAGCTTTCAAACACTTATTCCACCACAAATCGGATTGCACGAGATGTTTTCTTTGTTAGTTAGGAATTAAATTCTAATTCAAAATATTAATTTTTTTATAAAGAATAAGGGTGTCAAACGAGCACATAGTTCACCTGATGGTAAGTGGATGCTGTGGCCCATAGACATCCACATTTATCTTCATAAGAATTCTGAGAATCAAAATGCAGATGCGTTGTCATACCTAAGGACGGAGATGGTGTGCCTCGTTTCCAGTTAAAAGGGTATCCGGTTCGCTACACTCACCATACGAAACATAGCAGCATTAAGCTGCTATTTTACGCTGGTATTCTCGGAGAGTGTAGTCCTACCGACCCATTCGTGCTACAACCACAATATTAATAATTGAGAAATAATAGTACAGTAAGTGACTTGATATTAAAAGGAACTGTAACAAATTAAATATTATTATTCCTGCCAAATTATTGAAAAAAGGTAAACGCTACAAAAGTCGTCCTAGAAGCATTGTTTAATTTAATTAATATCTGAACCAGTAGAATCATATTTGTGTATAATGAGGTTCACTTAAAGCAGATAATAGTAAAGTAACAGCCGAAAGTTCTACTGGCTCAGGTTTCCCCTCATATCCAAAAGGGTTATGGAGAAATTAAGTCCGCTGCGCGGTTTAAGTGCACGTTAGCGGACTTTATATGCTAAAAAAATATTTTATTACACAACATGCGGGTTTCCTCGCAAAATTTTGCCTTCACCATAGAGCACGTGTTAAATCTATAAAAATAGTACTTATATTGCAATTAACAATTTCAGAGGTGCCTGCGGCGATTGAGAAAGAATTATGCCCATTTTCCATACATTGAATGACCTGTCACTTGATTCCTTTAACAGATCGCGTCTACCTACAACTACTGTTTATTTATTTATTTATTTTTTTCTTTATTGCATCCTTAAACAAAAGAATACAAAGAATACTATTGTATAAAAACATTTAATGTTTACAATAACATAATAATATATCATCTTTTCGTTTTAAGTAAATAAAATTTTGAGGTTATAACAGCTGTCAGATAAGGTCTGTACACTTATTTTTTTCCATACCATATAATAACACCATTAAAAATCGTATCTAATCATATTTAATAAGTTATAGAAAAAGAAATTGCTTATTTTGAACGTTCATAAACCACATGACAAATGAACAAGTTTTTCATGAAACGGAACGTGTAAAACATATTTTTAATATATTTTGGCGTGTCTTCTGGGCCTTTGAGCCATTGTAAAACACGTTCTGTATCCAAATTTTTTTATTGGGAGTGATAAACAAAGTAACATCACTTTTTTCCTGGCCTTATTTAAAAATTAAATTATGCGATATGAAATAATAAAAATATGCAATTTTATAAGATATTTTACATCATTAGACGCGTTTAAAATTTTTCAGGTCGAGACTGGACATGATTCTTTGGTACGATCGCTTAGCCCTTAAGTTACCAGGGCTCACACCAAAACTTAAAATCATGAATTGAAAATTGAAGTTGCATTTTCAAAGGAATTAAATAGTGTGATGGTAGATAAAGAGAATCCATTACCCCATATCGCTCGACTATAGAATATGCTAAGAAGAATTTCTGTGAAATGAGCTTCCATTCCATCGTAAAGTACCCAGACCAGCGATGGGAAACGGCGTCAAAGTTGCGAAGTAACAGATACTGTGATCGTTAACTCGCCTGCAAAGTATGTCTCTTTACAATGGGAGAGGCCTGTGTCTCTCTACAATGGGAGAGACCCGTGTCTCTCTACAATGGGAGAGGCCTGTGTCGCACTACAATGGGAGAGGCCTGTGACTCCCTACAATAGGAGAGGCCTGTGTATCTCTACAATGGGAGAGGCCTGTTTCTCTCTACAATGGGAGAGGCCTGCGTCTCTCTACAATGGGAGAGGCCTGTATCTCTCTACAATGGAAGAGGCATGTGTCTCTATACAATGGGAGAGGCCTGTGTCTCTTTACAATGGGAGAGGTCTGTGTCTCTCTACAATGGGAGAGGTCTGTGTCTCCCTACAATGGGAGAGGTCTGTGTCTCCCTACAATGGGAGAGGCCCGTGTCTCTCTACAATGGAAGAAGCCTGTGTCTCCCTACAATGGGAGAGGCCTGTGTCGCTCTACAATGGGAGATGCCTGTGTCTCTCTACAATGGGAGAGGCCTGTGTCGCTTACAATGGGAGATCCCTGTGTCTCTCTACAATGGGAGAGGCCTGTGTCGCTCTACAATGGGAGAGGCCTGTGTCTCTCTACAGTGGGAGAACCTGTGTCTCTCTACAATGGGAGAGGCCTGTGTCTCTCTACAATGGGAGAGGCCTGTGTCTCTCTACAATGGGAGAGAGAGCCTGTGTCTCTCTACAATGGGAGAGGCCTGTATCTCTCTACAATGGGAGAGGCCTGTGTCTCTCTACAATGGGAGAGTCTGTGTCTCTCTACAATGGGAGAGGCCTGTGTCTCTCTACAATGGGAGAGGCCTGTGTCTCTCTACAGTGGGAGAGGCCTGTGTCTCTCTACAATGGGAGAGGCCTGTATCTCTCTACAATGGGAGAGGTCTGTGTCTCTCTACAATGGGAGAGGCCTGTGTCTCTCTACAATGGGAGAGGCCTGTGTCTCTCTACAATGGGAGAGGCCTGTGTCTCTCTACAATGGGAGAGGCCTGTGTCTCTACAATGGGAGAGGCCTGTGTCTCTCTACAATGGGAGAGGTCTGTGTCTCCTACAAAGACCTGTGTCTCCCTACAATGGGAGAGGCCCGTGTCTCTCTACAATGGAAGAGGCCTGTGTCTCCCTACAATGGGAGAGGCCTGTGTCTCTCTACAATGGGAGAGGTCTGTGTCTCTCTACATGGGAGAGGCCTTCCCTACATGGGAGAGGCCTGTCTCTCAGAAGCCCGTGTCTCTACAATGAGGCCGGTCTCTACAATGGGAGAGGCCCTGTGTCTCTCTACAATGAGAGGCCTGTGTCTCTCTACAATGGGAGAGGCCCGTGTCTCTCTACGATGGGAGAGGCCCGTGTCTCTCGGGGGTCTCTCATGGGAGAGGCCCGTGTCTCTCTACAATGGGAGAGGCCTGTGTCTCTCTACGATGGGAGAGGCCTGTGTCTCTCTACAATGGGAGAGGCCTGTGTCTCTCTACAATGGGAGAGGTCTATGGCCAGCAGTGGAATTTTAAGGGTTGATGAAGAAAAATGGCTAAATTATTGTGTGGTTTTATTTTGTGGTCGTAATCGTAAAATGAGACTCGGGGAAACTCAAGAAAGATCTAATGGATTTCAAAATCCTGTTTACACCGGACTTTAAATAAACAGATAAGTAACGAGGCGCAAAGTCAAACGTGTGAGAAGTCTGGTACTTCGATTGAATATCTGCCCGCCAATCGTTGCAATTATGGAATCGTTCCTACAACAAAGACATTCATATACAATTGTTAACTTTGTGACATTGATGGGATGATGAAAAGGGGGAGGAAGAAGAAATATTCTTACTTCAAAATTTTACTAGTATTTAACTTTAAAAATATTTCTAACTTCAATTTAGACCTTCTGAATTTTTATGTAAAAATATACAGTAGATTTTCCATTCACGTTTACAAAGCTCTACAATATTTCGAAAGAGTGAGTAGCGCTTCCAAAAAGCATAAGTTTTATAGTGTTTAGATAGTAAATATAACTATTTTATATCTGTGAGGTACTGCGAAGTACGGGACTAATTAAATCTAAAGTTTTTACACGACATATGAGTTCACAAATATATTAATCCAAAATATTTTAACCATAACTCCGCATGACGTCATTAGTCTCGAGGTTTGAAGCATAACCTCAACACACACACACAAAATACCAACTCCGTATTCTATCGCACAGAATACCGTCGTAAAATAGCAGCAGATTATTATTTCGTTTTGTGTAGTGAAGAACAACACCCGGAAACCCTTTTTATTCGTAATAAGTTATCTAAGTCCTTTGGAGTAACAAAGCATCTACATTATGTTCAAAGAGTTAAGATCGATCGTAAATGATCTTTAATAAAAAAACCTACACCTTCTGAAGAGACATCGCAGTGCAGTTGTTTAGAGAAGGTGGTTGTCTTTTCTATAAAAAAGATGTTTTTATGGGTCACAGCTTTGAAATGGTTGTGGATAAAGTTTTGCTCAGTCATAGTAAATAGAACAAGACTGTTGTAATATGTGGAGACTTTAACATCAATCTCCTTAAAACTTCGTCCAGTAGTATTAAGTTTAGCTCATTGTTTAAATCGTTTAATCTTGTTAATTTATTCTTGGAGCTGACTCTTATTGCTGGGTCTGGTGTGACCTGTATAGATAACATTTTTGCAGATGTTAAACTCTTACAGTAATTCATCATTGAAAATTTAATTTTAGATCACTGTGGACAGTAGGTCTCATTGCATACACAAAAAAACAGAAAAATGAGAAAGTTGTGTTCCAATAATAGAACAGCGTTTGGAAAGGTTTAGAAGTAATATAGTAAAAGGATTTCCATCACTTTTATAAAAAAATAGTGCCGATTATTTGTATGGTGCATTTTTTAAAATTATAACTTCTGAATTTAATAAAATATTTACTTACACAACTTTCTCTTTAAACAGTCTCAAATCATTTAATAAATGGGCGACAGTAGGAATTTATAAAAATAGGTGAAAGTTATAAGTGTTTTATAATGAAATATCATATAATCATAGTGTTATGTTTAGAGAGTATATTAAAACTTATTCTTAAATATTTAAAAAAGTACGTTCCGCAGCTAAGGCTTTACATCTAAGCAACAAAATTAAAACTCCAAACTGCATACATATGTACCATCAGATGGAGTGCTAATTTGTCATCCTCGCTGGCATAAAAAATAAAGTAAAGCCTTGGAACTCTCTCTCTCTCTCTCTCTCTCTCTCTAGTCACCTGTGGAAATTCAAAGATTAATTATTAAGCAGTTTATCAAAGCTAGTAAAATCATTATCCATCCTCAGTTTTGGATATAAGTTAGAAAATCTGTGGAAATTGTGATTAATAGTGGGCTAAGCATTGTTTCGAAAGAAAAGAGATTTTGTTTTTTGATAGCTCTTTTTTAAAAATTAAAGAATTTATTATAGAAACGGATGTGGGCTACCCACTGAGGGAGTAAAAAAGGCAATACTAAAATTTTAGATAAAATATTCACTGTTATTATACTGACGCTTAATTTAAATGTTTGATGACACAGTACATCATCATCATCATCATTATGGACCTTTACAAGTCCACTGTTGAACATAGGCCTCCCCCAAGGTATGCCACAAAGCATTGTCCTGAGCCACCTGTATATATAGACTTCCTGCATATCTTACCAAGTCGTCACTCTATCTAGTCGAGGGAAGCCCTTCTTTTCTTGGATTTTAATAATTGCATTGAAACTTTAAACCAACGTAAAATATAATACGATATAATGAATCCAAAAATAAACAAATAGAAAAATACCAAGAATTAACGATCAAATCAAATGCCAAACGTCCATGTCAACGTAGAATCGGAACGCAACCGTTAACCACAGACAGAAAAAATAAACAACGCACGGTCTATAATCTGTCAAAATATATACTGGATGAACCCGCAGAAAAGCTGGCTTGCCACTATGGGATATGGATATAATATATATTATATCCCGAAATATAAATTATATCCCACGATTGCCATTCACACTGTAAGATATATCTTTTAACCAGTGTGCGTTCGTCATTGGACGATCTGAGGACGTGCGGTGTGCAGTAGGTGAAATATAATATGAAAATATCTGAGATGAAATACCAGACCACAAATAAAGGAATTTTGTTAGCGAGATAATATACTTACATCTCGCTAACAATGAAACTATGGTCAGTTTTGATGTTTTCAGTCTCTATTTACATGCATACCTATTGAAGACTGCATCTTAATTATAACTAGGAAGATAGAAGAAAACAGCATGCCTTTAGAATATGTACCATTACTCAAACACTGCCTAACTTCTGACTATCTATTGTGGAAAGCGGAGTTCTACAAGCAGGTAGACGATGTATCTTTTCTTCTGTATCTCGACTTAGAGAATAAAGCCCTTCTCAACGCACTTGTATATCTACGATTCTACAAGCGGTACGTAAACGACACTTTCACAATTTTACCATCTCACACTCGCTGCTTTTTAGACTACCTTAACTTCATAAGCACTAAAATAAAATTCACGATTGAGTAAGAGGCAAATAAATCTTTAGCTTTTCTAGATTTTTACTCATTCGAAATCCTGATATCACTATTCACACTATGTATTGGAAAAATACCCATATCAACCGATATCTAAACTGTGAATCTCACCACCGTCCTTCGCAGTTAGCCACCGTGGGAAATATTTTATTCAGAGAGCACAAGGGATCTGTGACAGTAAACACCTGGCCGCCGAGCTACAGCACGTTAAGGAAGTATTTCACGGAAATCGAGTGTAGCCGGCCACAGCCGAACGTGTGCCCACTGTATTACCATAAGTCAGAGGAGTCACAGACAAGATTGGCTACATTTTGAAGCGAGTTTCCATTAAAACCTACTACAAGCCGTTGAAGAAGATTAGTCAATTATTACCATCCGTCAAGTGTAATATCCTTCTACAAAATACAGTAGTATACAAGCTGGATTGTGAATGTGGTCTCTCTTGCAGAGAAAAAAAATAGTTCTGTAAAAACCCGCTTGAAGAAATATATAGCTGACATGAAGCACCACTACTCCAGGAAGTCTGCAGTCTGTGAACATGTTCAAGATCATCATTACATTAGATTTGATACTGATTTACTACGTGATCGGCAGCGGAGGAAAACCCCGTGAAGAAATATGCATGTCTGAGAGTTAAGGAAAAACATATTTCGAAGACCGGCAGATATTTCCCTGCCCCTAAGACCCTCTCGAAAATGCCCAGCGGTGGGACATATATAGGTTTTAACTTTTTCTTTTAACTTTCTTCATACCACGAACGAATGAAAATGATTTGCCCTTTTGCTTTAAACGATTACAATTTCCAGTGAGATAAGATTTTATTGTAACTATCAATACGGCGCAGGGTGAAAATTTTCACTTTTGTTGAGTTAATTTGAAATAATCATTTTTCTAACATATCAGCTTTATAATGATTTCCTAAATTTACGCGAACACTACACATTGAATAAAACTTTGTTTTTTTACCATCCGTCAAGTGTAATATCCCTCTACAAGATGCAGGAGTGTACAAGTTAGATTGTGAATGTGGTCTCTCTTACATAGGTCAAACAAAAAGATCTATAAAAACCCCGCGTGAAAGAACATATAGCTGACGTGAAGCGTCGACGCTCCGGGAAGTCTGCAGTCTGTGAACATGTTCAAGATCGTCCCCACCATTACATTAGATTTGATAAACCACAAATCCTCGCAAAAGAACACCGATTCCTACCAAGGATGATACGCGAGGCTATTGAAATTAAAAAACACCCTAATATCAATAGAGAAGGTGGTTGGGTGCTGCCATCTGCTTGGGATCCTATAATTAACAAAATTAAACCTAAAACCAAGCATACCACTGCAAGACTTCAAGATACTGTAAGTTCGTTTTGCGTAAATCGGACCAAAAATTTATATTCAAAAACTGATGGTAGCCGGGCTAACAATGACATTGGGACGTCAAACATCTCAGTCCCCCCCGTGACCATGGCTGCTGTAAAGCACCCGAAACGTCGGGAATCAAAAATAAGTAAAATCAGCCTTATGTTTATTTTTTCATGTATCGGACAAGCAGAAAACCTACCTACCTGTCTGCACACCGACTTACTTATAAAAAATTATAAAAAAATCTTGATAGTTAACCCATAATAATAATTGCTAATAAATCTATCGCTTTTAGTAATAAGACTATTGGTATGTACG